GGGATACCATAATCATTTGGAAGACTGCTTCAATTTAAGTATTTACTTGATGAAAAAATAGGAAACAAGTACACTCATTAGTAAACTCACATTTGGTATACGAAAAACGACATAGAGACGATAATTGGGTTTAAGTGCCACGGGACATTGGGCCAGCGTAAGAAATGTTAGATTTTTACAAAGAGAAAGTGGATCGAGATCTTTAAGTTCGGCAAAGTTATTTCCCGAAAGGATAAGTGTTTCAAGATTCGGAACTTGAAAGGTTAGATCTTCAGCTATGCGAATAATCTGAAATAGAAAAATAGAAGAAAATTATTTTAAACCTTATTATCGGTAAGAATAATATGTTTTAATCGCTTGAGCAGAGGGAATCCATCCAACTTTCTTATTTCGTTATCAGTCAGGTCAACTGTATCAAATTGATCGTGTGTACTACCAAAGTTCTCAATAGCCGGTGCCTTATAACCCCTTAAATGCAGTTCTCTGTCATGGACAGCATTCGTAAATTGGTATGCACGTTCAACGATTTCAACCGTCAAGCGAACCATAACAGGGACACGCGAGAATGCGGCACGCGGGCAATTAATCGTAAATTAAAAGTAAATTATTCAAAAATAAAATTTAAATTTATTTTAAAATTTAAAATTTTTAATTAATGAATTTAAAAACAATAAATTTTATTTTTAGATTTTAGCGCTCTATTTTAAAAATATCAGGTGCTTTCCTCGTTTTCATGGAACTTCCCTCTTTCAATCATATTTGGTCAGCTTCACATGCATTAACGGAACTTAGCGAACTAATAACCAAAAATAATGAAACTAGCGTATCAATTAAAAAAGTAACCCTATATATACTTATCTTGTAAAGCACATCTCGAAAAAAACAGTTGGCGATGGAATGTATGGTGCAAGCTTTAGGAGCGCCTCAAGCAATTATGGGGAGCCGATATCCGTATGCTGCGGGGATGCTTTTTATACCAAGCATGAACTTAATACTCATAAGCTGGGGCATATTCGCGTTAGTAAATTATAAAGCTTTTACTAATATTTAGTGTTCAGTGGAGGGCTGTTTATTTGAGTCATCCACTTCTCTTATTAATTTTCACATAAAAACAGTAATTTATCTTTTTACGTGCAGTGAATAGATGCACGAAAGTGGCATGTTTAGGCGAATAAATATTGATTCGTCTGATGAAAATCTGAACAAATGGTTGTTTGAGCGGAAAAGGTACCATATCCACTTTCATATTTTAGAAATTACCCTTCACTTGAGCGGGCAGATGCAAAGAAAAATGAAATATTAGACAGAATCCAAAGAGGTCAGACACTCAACACCAAGCAGTTTGGGTACTTTCCTCCATTTATGAGTTAATCTCATGATTGTCACTATTTTGTATATAATCTGATAGATATATAAGAAACTGAGATATTTCTAAAGTGATTTTTATATTATTAGTTCCAATAGTTACCATTTATTATTGTATAAAACGGTTATTGAATAGTAGTTATAATTTTTTACTCATTCAATTTAAATAAATATCTTCCTTATTTATAATATGTAATTATGTAATTCACATTTGGCCTTCGGGTAATGTTTCTTATAGGCAAATGAATAAGCGTAAACCCTTCACATTGACGGGAGCGTCTATCAAACGGCCGAAATCTGATCATCCTCAATACGCAGCACAAAAGGTCGTTGTTTGTTTTTTTTATACTTTTATCCTAATTATGACTTGTATAGGAGTTTTTTGCATTTTTATTACTAGCTTGTTCGCAAAGCTATTAATGCTTAACCTTCCATGAGGAAGGCATTATATTATTATTACTGCCTTATTTTTACTTATAGCATCATGTATATTTTTGATGCTCATGTAATTATTATGCCTAGTTATTTATGAATAATGATCAGTGTCTAGTACTTATTACCTTTAATATTATGGTTATTTTGTACTGTCTTACAAGTGACATTTCGTTCATGCACTAATATTTAATTCTTATACTTTAATTTTGATAGTAAGTTAGTTCAAAAGCTTGCTTGATACAATTTTTATTTTTTTTGATAATTTAATTTCGTATGAAAGTGCATTATGATGAGATTAATTGGTTTATCTCACCGGGAAACAACGGACTACTCCACATTTACTATAGTGTGTAATCTCGATACGTTAACCACTACATCACATAGATTACACGCTGCACTAGGGTGCTTCGACTCCAGCTGGGGGTGTTGATAAGACCTAGGAAAGGTCTGCAGTCCACCTTAGATGAGCACATCTTTTTGGAAAGTAAGTCTATGTGAAATTCGATGAAAGCATCAGCTCTACTCATACCATTGTGAGAAAATTCATCTACCAATCCTACGTCATCTTAGTACAGACATCTCACAACTGATTTAACGGTAGTCTCTAAACCCTATTTATGGTCTAAAATCTACTAAACTATTTTCCTATATAATTTATTTTACAAACTCATATCATTGTTTGACTAAATATTGCAAAAAATCAGCACCTTTTTTAATTGTACCCATAAAAAACGTGCTTATGAATTATGCTTCCCTTATTATTTACTATAGATCCTAGGGGATTCCTTTACATTGTACAGTTTACGAAACCCATAAACCATGGGGTCCTAGAATTTCTGGACTAGTGAATTTATTTTCCACCTCTCTTACTTGCACATATCTTAAGGGCATCTTACAGACTAGTTATAAGTTTCTCATTAAAGGCATATGAGTATTAGTGTCACTCAAATTAACTTTCTTTTTTTTCTACATAACTTGACTTATCCATGACTACCACTGCTCCACCTTTGCCAGCTTTCATAATAATTAGATTATTGAGACATAAATAGCAAGAAACCCTATTGAAAACATAAGATTTCTTTGAAGTGATTATCTGGTCAAAATAAGGGAATCGTCTTCAGCTCCATACTACTCTTCACTTCCTTAGGCAATCAAGCCAAACACACGGCCCTAGGTTGGGAATGAGAAAGAAGATATCTGGGTCGTGGGTCCGATACCTAGGAAGAGGAAGTTGTCAAGGCATGCGAATTGCCGATTTTCAATTCTCGAATATGTCGTAAATGGGGACGAGAATAGAGGGCTCCTAGGCAGCAAGATTCTAGAGGAGTGAAGGGGGGCTAAAACAAAGTCAGAAGCCCTGCAAGCGGTAAGGTGATTATGCGTCACTAAATCCAATTCAATGGTCCGATACAGGGACTCAT